AAAAAGGTTGATATTTTTATTAATAGTTGGAAAAATGATTAAAAATAAATAATAGGTTCTTTAAAAATACAATTATCGAAGTATGTAAATACAAATGTAAAATATGAAAACGATGTTTAAATATAAAACTGTATTGATTAAAACAGCAAAATTTTTTTTTTAATATAATGTTAAAAGTAAATATTGAATTAATAAAAAATATTAAAAAAAAAAAAGAAGCATAATAAGACCAAGAAAATTTAATAAATGAAAATACAATCATATAAAGTATAATATATATATATATATATAAGTAAATTAATAAAATTAGATACGACTATAATTTCTCCATAAAAAAAACAATAAATAACGATTCACAAATAGCAGCAATACAATACGAGAACGAAATAAGTATTGAGAAAGGAGATAAATCTGTCTAAATAGCAAACAAATCAACTCTAGTTAAAAAATCTAATATAATAAAAATAAATAAAGATAAAGCTATAAAAGGAAAACCAAACTAACAGTAATAAATAAATTAAGAACAAGAAAAAAGTTCAAAAAATAACACTTAATTGTATTCTTCTTCTCGTTTAAATAAAACAAGTAGTTTAACAAAAGAAATAGAAAAAGCGCATAAACAAAAATCAGTTTAAAAAGGAAAAATTTAAGTACAGCAAGCAGTTATAGACAAAAAGTAACGAAAAAACGAGATGAAATAATAATAATAAAAACTTTAAGAAAAAAGAAATTTCCTTTAAAAACTTTAAGTTTAAAAATAAAATTAATACATATTAGAAAGCTTAAGATTAAAAGAAATTTAAAAATAGAAAATCAATAATTCTGATTTGGCTTATAAATTAAATAATTTATCATTAAATATGTAATAATAATAGGAAGAAGAAGAAGAAGAATTTAATAATGAATTTTATGAAGAAAATAAAGAAACAGAGAAGTTATAGATGAATAGAATTAATTAATATTTACAGCATAAATAAAAACTAATAAAAATTAAAAAGAAATATAAAATAACAATTTTGAAGATCATGATGATGGAATATTATAATAATATTTAAATATCTAAAAGTAAGAAAAAATATAAAACGAAGGCAAATATAAATTAAAAAATAATAATAAAAGTTTTAATTAAAATAAATAAACAGAACAAAAATAATAAAATATTATAAATGATAATATTATCTAAAAAACAATTAATGTTAGCAATTTTAAATAAAAAGAAGAGAATTTTAATTCTTATAATGAATAATAATTAAAAAATAATTAAGAAGTTTCATATAAAGGATAAAATATAAATATCAATATAAGTTAATAATAATAAAAAAAATAGGAGTTAGATTAAAGCATATATATTTAAAATAATAATAGTTAAAATAGAAATAATAACAGTAATAATAATATAAATAATAATAATAAAAGTAATAATAATATAAATAATAATAATAACAGTAATATTAATATAAATAATAATAATAAAATTAATACGAATAACAATAATGCATTTAATATCAATAATAATAATAAAAATATATGTAATATTAGCAATAATAGTAATAATAGTTAAAATAGAAATAATAACAGTAATAATAATATAAATAATAATAATAACAGTAATAATAATATAAATAATAATAATAACAGTAATATTAATATAAATAATAATAATAAAATTAATACGAATAACAATAATGCATTTAATATCAATAATAATAATAAAAATATATGTAATATTAGCAATAATAGTAATAATAGTAATAATAGTAATAATAATATTAATAATAATAGCAATATTTCTAATTTAAGTAATAAACTTAATATTAGTAATAAAAATAATATTAGTAATAATAATATAAATAATAACAATATTTCTAATATTATTAAAAATAATATAAATAACTAAAGTAATGATAATAAAAATCAAAGTGAATATGATTAAATTATAAATAAAGAATTTTAAGATATTTAGTTTTTAACTATTGCTTCAAATTCATCTAATTAAATAGAATATTAAAATATTAATATATAATATTAATAATTATTATAATAATATAATAATATAAAAAGTGAAAACTTATAACTTTTAAAATTAAATAGTGAATATTAACTTTTAGTGCAACAAAATTTCATTTTACAAAATGAAATTTAAAAATATTAAATTCTTTAAAATGAAAATAGTTAACACATAAAATCCTAATAAGAGTTAATTAAAAATATAACATAAGAGAAACAATATGTAAAAAAATAAAAAAATAAAAAAATATTAAATTTTATATATTTTTACATTTATAAAATTTAACAAAAAAGCTTATATAGTAATTAAGTGAATAAAATTAAAAAAGAGAAGATTTATTATAAAAACTCAATGACTCAAGTATTCAAATATAATAATTGAATAGTTCTTTATCTTATTTTAATTAAAAAACATAAACTCCAGCAACTAGTATTTAAATTAAATCTAATATAAATGTAAAAATAAAATAAAGAGTATTAATATTTTTTTTATTAAATAAAAATAGAAAGAAATCTAAACAAATACAATATAAGTAAAAGAAGATGAAAAATTATAAAAATAACTACAAATATTAAAAGAAGAAAATACTAAAATTCAATTATAATACGAAAACGTAATTCTTTAAATTGAAAACCAAACAGATGAATTTTAATTATTACAGAATAAAGTAAAAAAAATATATATAACAAAAAATATATAAAATAAAAATAAGATTTAAAGTAAAGAACTAACCATATCTTAATAATAAAAAGAAATTTAACAACTAAAATCTCAAATAGAATAATTATTAGAATAAATTGATCAAATAAAATTATAACATTAAATTTATTTGGATGACATTTAAATGAAATTTGTTAATTAAATATAGTTTTTTGATTTACAAATATAATAATTAAAAGACGACAAATCGGATTTAGAAAAAGACTATAAATTATAATAAAACCGAATTAACATAATGCAATAATAAATAGAAGATTAAACAAAAAAACTGGAAGATCAAGAGGAAAAAGCTAAAAATTTATATTAAAAAGACTCTTCCAAAAATCTATTTAACAACTAAAAAGAAGAATAAGATATTTTAGAAGATTACCAAAACAATAATAAAGGAAAGTCAAAAAATATAGAAAAAAGTTTACCTTAAAAATAGGAAGAAAACACTTATAACCAAAAATATTAACAAAAATATACATTTGGGTTTTAACCAGAAAACTCAATATAAGATTCAAGTTAAGTATCATCATAAAAAAATAGCTAGAAAAGTGTGAATTTCGATAATTTTTTCAATAATTGTAATTCAGTGGATGATAATTCCCAAAACGAAATTTAAATAGATGGAAAAAGTTCGGAAGTAATATAAAGCGAAAAGAAAGAGCATAAAAAAAAAATACAAATAATTTTAATTTAGTAAATAACATTTAAAATTAACTTATTTAAAGCTTAGATTATAATGGAAAAGATCACATTAATATGTAAAAAGGAGCAGGTTCTTTTAATAATTTATTTTCTAGTAAAAATAATGAAAATAATGATTTAATTCTTTAAAAATCTTCAGTTAAATAGAAAATTTCATTTAATTAAAATGAATAAAGTAGAGAAGAAAATAATAATAATATTGTAATTTAATAACTTTAAGAAAATGAAAAAATTTATAAAGAATAAATAGAATATTTAAAAGAAGCTAATTAACTTTATGAATAGACTATTAAATAATTAAAAGATGAAAATATTAATATTTCATTAAAAAATGAAAGCCTTTAAAATCTTATTGATTAAAATAATAGTTCTTATAAAGAAAAGAATCAAACGATTTAGAATTAATTCGCTAATTTAGAAAAATAAATTAAAGCTTTTAATGTTACTTTAATTTTTTTATATTAAATAAAAAAAAAAAAGGAAAATGAATAAAAATATCTTCTTGAAATTTAATAAGTTAAAACTCTAAATTTATAACATTAACAATAAGTAAAGTTTTATCAATAATAAAATACTGAATTAGAAGCCAATTTATTATAAACAAAATAAAATTTAGCCGAAGCATTAAATGTTGCGTTTTAAGCAAATAGGAAATCTTTAGTAGATATGATTGAAAATTAAGTTACTTTTAAAGAATAAAAAGATTATTGATATTATATTATATTTTATTTTATAATAATTGTATTTACCTTATCATTTCAAAAATATCATAAAATATATAAAAAATTTAGAATATATTTATTTATAAATAAGAAAAACAATTAATTTCTATTATACATTTTATAATGAATTCTTATATAAAATATAATATATATATAAAAAAGAAATTAATAAGAAAATAAAAAAATAAAAGAATAATTCGAGAAAAAATAATTAAAAGAATAAAAAAAAATATATAATTAATAAATATACAGTTAATCCTTAAAATTAAGGTATATAGCAATTATGAATAATTTTATAAATTTTTAAAGAATTGAAAAATATAAAATTGCTATTTTAATAAATGAATTTAAAAAAAAAAAATATATAAAAAAAATT